GTTTTTTTTTTTTCAAATTAACGCAACATCATTCTCTGATGAATTAGCGGGAACTTGACATCTCTTCAATGCACAGGTCATATGTTAGTTCTACGCTATAAGTACTATTATTTGTCCTCTACAAATGTAAGGAAGCCATTTTAGTACCTTTTGGCGATGTGTTATAAAACACACATTCACTATATATGACATATTTTAGACACATAGATCTCTTGCACCCTCAGTGTCAGTCTAAATTCAATCACTATTATATTATTAAGTATTTACATTGCCTGGATGAATCATTAATAAGACAATATACTTCTGTTTTTTGTGTGAAATGAAGTAAACCCAAAACACGAATACTCAGCAGAAGGGATAAATCCTGCTGTCAACTGAAATCAGCAAAAATGTCATTTTCCGTTAAGGTATTTTAGATCACATATGAATATATCTCATAGTATACCCAACTGCAATGATGGTTTATTCGTTGAATGCCTAATCACTTACATAACTGACCGAGCATTATAAACTCGCGTGGAAGAAAACTATTGGTTATCATTTTGATGCGATTGACAAATGTTTGAAGCGTTTTCTCCTAAATTTATTCGTCCAGGCTTGGGTATTAAAATAGCTTGGTATTTGTAAATTCTCTAAAATTACTTTAACAATGTTCTCAGTGATGTTTCTTTGTTTTGAAAACTTCCTCCCAGTTTTTAATTGTCAACTGTAACTACTGTCACATAAATAACATACAGTAAAGTCAATACACAAAATATATGTGACAGCAGGTAATGTGCATAGAATACACGTAGGCAAAATAAGGTAAATCAGCATTAAATTAATATTAATTATTTAATTAATATATAGACCAAACAACCAAAGGAGAACCAATCAGAACCAACGTCAAAATTGGTCCGTCTTAGTCTCAACGAAAATGTTTTCAAATGTAGTCCTAACGAAAAGTTATATGATAAATAGTTGAAGTGTCGTTATAACTGTTACATGCATGCGTAGAATGTAATACCAATTTTAAGATCTCTAAGGATGTATGATTGGCTACAACACCATTGACTAGTGACCACATCACGTGATATACACGCGAAATGTACACACATGCAGACTTGTTTAACTGTTCTTTATTTGTATTTATCAGGAAAGCTATGAATAACAGGGTGGATCCAGCGCTCAAACTTGGTGACAACGGTCTACAATGAGGAAACTCATCACGTGAACCAAAGCAACATAGCTGCAATTCATGTCTTCTTTCTATTATATGCATGAAATATATACTCGATAGATTACACGCAAGTAGAACTGAGCTGTGAACGTCGATCAATAATACTTTAACATAATGCAATTACTCATGTTTAATATAAGGTTTATAGAGAGACATTTCATTGTCGTCGCAGAGCTAGGATTGAATTGTCTTAGCTCGTAAGTGATACCAATTTATCTCATGTTATAAATGAGTTGTTGAACACCGCACTTAGTTTGTTATTTTCTTTCACTCATAATTCAAGACAAATAAAATGCAAAAATATATAGAATAGAGAATTATTGTTTTCATTAATATTCTCATGTAATTGGTAATTATGTAAATTATAATTGATATGTACTAAGGAATACATTTTATTATGGATTATTCTTAATATATTTCTTAATGTTCTTGTGAAAATCAGTTGTTTTTCAGTTTTTATCCTTAAAAGGAAATAATTTCACAAAGTTGAAAAAGGAAAGTCATAGTGTTTACTCTAGTTCAAAAATAAAACTGAAATTATTTAAAAAGCTTTGGTCAATGTATTTAGCCATCCTTGAATTGCAGTACCGTGGAGCTCTTTATTCAAACATTGAATTGAAATATTGAACTAAGTCGTAAAATATTTAGCCATATGAAAACGGTAACTGTTTTACATATCATGACCTGTTCGTTATCCACTTCTGATTTCCACAGAAAAGTAAGGTCTGACGGCCAGATTCTGCACAAAAATCAAGTATATAAGTATACTACGAGAATTGAGTGACTATATGTAATTTCAACGGATTCAATTTTGTCTATTATTTCTATACATTAAGACTGGGAAAAAATAGCTATTGCAACAAGCATTAATAATTCATAGTCCCTGTTCAATATTAGCTGTAGTCGATGTAAATGCTCAGTACATGTGACATCAATCAATGTTTTTTTTAACACCAACATAGATTATAGATTGTGTTACTGTCAGTATAGTATCTACGTGAAAACTATGAAGTACATTGAACTATATCTTACAGATAGTGAACTAAAATGTCACAAGGAAGCATTTGCCATTCAAATTTCTAAATGAAGAAAGAATAACTGTTCTAGACATGTTACAGAATGATATTTTACGGGTTTTTTTTGACAAAATGGCCACTATTTCGAAAAATTTGATCAAATCTCAAGACAAAACATGTTGTTGTGTTACCTTGCAGTATACTACCTATTACAAACTTTCAAATGAATCAGGGCATATCTTTCAGAGGAATCAGCACGAAAACGGAAAATAACAAAATGGCCGCCAGTCGGCCATCTTCGACCGAATCTCGAAAAAAAAGTGACGTGCACCTATAACCCAATATGCATGATCACCAAACAAAGTTTTATTGAAATCAGCCTGTTCAGCTCCGGGAAACCGCCTTTTTTGTTCACCAGATTGACAAAAAATTGTTTTTGGATAGGTTGATTTTAATTATATACAGATAAATTATTCAGCAAGCGTTGGAACTCAATTAGTAAACTGCTATAAATAACCTTTAAAATAATTCTCAACTATCATCGGAACAATATAATTCACAGTTGAAAAGCTGCATCTGCATTTAATTGTTCCTGAACCTGACAGCACATGTTCCAATTTTCAAATTAACGAACGCCACTAACACGTTTGATTTTAACAGAAGAACACTTTCCTTTGTTCACATTAATAGACGCATGAAAGCCACACACCATTCCTATGAAATCTCGCCCTCTAGTAACAGAGCGCTTCTGTGAAGTCAAAGTGACGTATATGAATGAAAGGAATATTGTTTAATTCGACAGCTCTATTTGGTTATGTAGTAGTTATTCAACTAGAATATAGTAAAATCTCTCACAAACATCATTTTCATTAATGTACGAGTCATATTCAAACAATAAACTAATCACATACACTTTTTCATCTATCAACGGCGAACTCGGGTTGTGACTTTCCGAATTATATATTTCAAGATTATTGTTACAGTTATTGATGGTCGACAAATAGTTACACTTTGTTAAGTCCGTACGGGGTTGCTCACGTTGAACTACCGTTTAGATCAAATCTATCGATGGCATATATACTTGCATGCCAAACAACTATTGATCACAGATGTTATCCATCAGTCGATCAGCCATGACCTAATTTGCATATCCACTATCATGTGTGAAATGATCATTACACCTTGAACTATGGCGACTGCTTCACCGAATTTAGACTTTTTTTCAATGATAAAACCTGAGAAATAAATTCACGACTTTTACATAAAATCCACACACATCATGGTTCGTAATACCCAAGATTTTATTATCAAAATAAGCAACAAATAATTTACTACAAGGCAAGAAACATGAGCTTGAAATTCAAGATGTACATCTGGACAAATTTCTCAAAAATCAGCAGAGGCACACAAAAAAAAAACGCTTTTGTGAGAGAAAGATGGATATTAACCAAAAAAATCTGGATACTTACTGTATTTTTTTTCAGGGAGTTTAACGGTAGGGCCCAACAGTAAAGAAAGAAATCCGACCCTGCTGTAACCTCACTATTTAATGGGATTGTTCTAAATGACGGAAGGGCAGATGGAATGTAAAACAAATTTACGGGAGTGTGTAGGGTGAGTGACATTCCAGTATATGTGAAACCAATAATTAAGTTATTTATCTGAGGGTCCACTGACTAAATGATAAAGTTGAGAAAAATGGAGAATTCCAGAAATATAACAAATTCAATTAATGTTTGAATCTAGACTGGCAAAATTGGGACTTCAGAAATTAGTTATTATTCATTTTTTTCAGGACCCCAAAAATTGAAATGATATTATTGGCTGTTTTTATTATCGCAATGTTCATGCACAATCTGTTCAATTCTGTAGTGTGGTACTTTAGTACTACAAATAATGCACCAATGAATTTAAACACTGCCTACATCCCGATACCTACTGATTTGAAACAAACTTGCTGCCTAAATTTTTACAATTGTAATGTAAAAATAAACTACAGTTCAACATTTAATGGGAGCATATAGAGGTCACTGACTGGTCGCCATATTGTAAAATGTAGCCTTCTTTCAAAAAAAATGTAAAATATTATACAGGTCCAGTACAACTATTCCACAGTGGTACAGAGTTTTATGTGTACTGCCCGAGATATGCAAATTAAAGTACTGTATAAAATATGCGTGTGAGGTCATGGCTGTTCGACTGCTATACCATCTAAATAATTTTTCAATAAACCGTGTGAATATGTGATCACCACACTGCATGGTGTAGCTTAAGTTTTGCAATGACAGTAACGTGCTTGCAAATCATTAATATTGTCCAAGCATTTACTTGTACGTCCATGCTGATGAAGAGTGCTTATTCCAACCAGAGGATAACTAGGATCTATGTTTTTCACATCAATCCCTACAGGAACGGTAATGTCGTATATACCATGCCCAGGAACGGTTTCAATAACGCTTCGATAAAGCTTAATTCTGTTCTTTTTTATTCCATTACTGTGCGTGTCTTTATCGGAATCCTGCAACTGATAGAATTCATCAAATTCATTGCTGATAATATTTTTGTTTTGAAAAGAATTTGAAAGAGTTGAAAGCTCATTTTGCCACACTATAAGTGGAATATGTACTTTGAAATGAATTACATATTAGAAAACAAATTGGCTTCTATCGAATGGGAAGATACATATGATTTTGGATGATGCACAAGTTACTGTATAGTTAGTGTATAAACCAAAAGTGCATACAGCGGAAATCAATGCAGTTTGGTAATTGGATTGTGGCGCAGTTTGTTTTCTATGTCTAGCCATAACACACAATAACTCAAAAAATAAAAGACAGTTTAACTCAACAATATTTAAACATGGTTGACGACAATTACATGCTGCTAATATTGAACTGTCGAACGGAGTGGATATTCGATGCATACGTGTATTACACAAGCAAATGATGGACTGGTATCATATATTGTTCTTATTTCATATGCGTATATCTAGCATTGACGTGTTTAAAATGGGTCCCTTTCGATATTTTCAACACGGGTAAAATATAGTCATTCGGCGTGGCAACTATCGCCATTACAGGCATAATTAACTACTATTCTTTTCGTATCCATACTTCTATGCAAGTGAAATCGACATACCTGCTTAGTAAACATTGACGTATTGGCAGAATGCATTTTATGAAGTTTCAGCTCATCACAGAGATGTCGATACTTGATACTTCCGCTGTTTAGAACTTGTATCATTAGGACCTTCATACTTTCCATCTACAAGATTTGAAATATGTTAATGATACAATTTTAACAAACAAAAAACAAAAAATCACAGATTACCATCATTTTCAACGAATACCTGACTATTTCCACTTTGAAATCTGTCTTGTGTGTTTGTAAATGTATTTATAAGACGCTGTACGAGGATATTCACAACCGTTCGATCCAGTAATATATTATAAAAGTTTATCTAAGTGTGTCAATTGACAGTATAACATAAAGACAAGTCATGTTTCATGCTGTCATCGAAGTAATAACACCACTATGAACGTAATAAATTACATGTATTTTTCTATATGTTCTTAAAGCCAATGCACGATTTTATTCAATCAGTACAACTTACCTCATCTTTTGTAGCTGGTTGCCATGGTAAGCAGGAACAATAATGTGGTGGAATACCAGCATCACGGCAGCTTCGGTTATGAGGGATTGTATCGAATAGACTAATGCCTCGCCTGTCAGTTGAAGGAATGCTTAGCACGTGTAGTAGTGTTTAATGAACATCCATAGCGGTTGTTAATCTGTGGGCGTTATTTTGCAAATTCAAAGCAAACGACGGATGCTCAACTCTGAGTTTTGGCGGAAGGAAAATGGAAAAGAATGGCAATAGTTCTTCTTGTCGTCCTTGAGGAGTTTTCCGTACCGACGAAAACCGTGATCCGTGATCAGACATGAGGATAAAAATGGTATTATCGAATAATCCTTTATAATATACTGCTGTTAGATAGGCGAGTAAATCGTCATCAGCCCACTGGAGCGTACTTATACTATCATGTGATATTTTGTTGAGGAAAGTGAAAGCAAAATGGGGTACATTTTTGTAGGTGTTTTGGAAATTGTGCAAATAATCGAATAATATTTGGTGTTGTGGTTTATTACCAATACAGAATGAAACAGACGATGTTTTTAACCAAAATGGTTGCATGTAATGGCTGGTTGGCTGATCCCTGAATCCTTTAAAGTAGTGAGAGAAAACATTTATAGTTGGTGAATCTTCGGCATACATCGTGACATATCCGCTGCTGTTAAACCTATTCCAAATAAATGGACAATTGTCTAATGTGTCAGACATATCACAAATTTCATCTTTTCCAGTATACGGTTTTCCCAGTAACCATGGAAAAAAGGCAGATACTGTGCCATCACCAAGAATGTTATATTTATGCAATACGAACGATTTCATAGTGTTTATTAAAAATGAGTATGATTTTGGAAGCAGCCGCAAAACGCTCATCGACGAGGTTGAATCAAATCCTAGCATGACAACGTTGGTCTTCGACAGACTAGACGGAACACGATGAAAGTTGCGTTTAAAGGAATTTCTTGGATGTACATGTGCAAGCAAATTCGTATATTCAGCTACCCTATTCGATGTGACAGATTTACAAGTTACTTGGACAAAATCGGAGTCAACAGAATCTAACAGCACAACTAAATTCTCTCCTTTGCCACGTGTACTCTCTGTAATGTTCACCACATTTGTTATTGCATCATCAGTTTCACCTTTAGATGCGTACAGCACAGGAACATAACTACACGTACTTACACTTTCCCAGTTTACTTCTATTCAGCATCAATCGACCATCTGCATCAATGAGTGAGAAATAATGC